CAATCTTGTTTGATATTGTACAAGACCGTGGGCAAGAGCAGAACTGAAGGGAAGGCATACAGTAGGCCCTTCGACCAGGGTAGGAGGAAGGCATCTGTCAATGAATCTGGGCTGTGGCCCACTCTGGAACAAAAATACATTTGAGTTGCTCTTATTGCAAATAAGTCCACCTGGGGAGTCCCCCAAAGCTGGAAAATGCACCTAGACACATCTGGATGAAGAGATCACTCATGGTGACTTGTGAATGACCTGCTTAGGTGATATACCAGAGTATTCTGAACTCCTGAAAGGTAAGCAACTTTCAGATTGATGGAACCGGAAATACAGAAATTCCAAAGCAGAATTGCCTTGGCATAACTTCATTGATCAGGCCCCCTGTTGCTTGTTTACACAGATTATGGCTCCTGGGTTGTTTCTGAGACCCAACAAATTCTGCCCTTGATTTGTGGAAGGAAAGCCAAGCAAGCTAAACATATAGCCCGAAGTGCCCTGATATTTATATGGATCTTTAGATCTTAGATAGACCAAAGTCTTTGTGTCTGAAAGGGACCTAAATGAACTCCCCAACCTCATTCTGATGCATCTGCGACTATGGTGAGTGCTGTGGAGCAGCAAAGGGAACTCCCATGCAAACATTCAAGGATTCTATCCACTAGTCCAGGGCTGAAAAGACCTGAGTAGGTACTTGAACCACCATGTCCATATGATGACAGGCCAGTGAATACACTGAGGCTAGCCAGCCTTGTAGCTCCCTGAAGCACTGCCTGGCATGCTGCACCACAAGTGTATGCTGTCATGTGCTCAAATGCAGTTTCATACTGTAGTGACAGGATGAGCCTTTGGATCTAGAGTAATAACAGACATTGTTTGGAATCTCAGGCCCGGCAGGAAAGTCTTGACCTTTGTTGAGTCCAGGACCAACCAATACATTCTATTATCCGTTCAGGAGTCAGGGTACATTTCTCCTTATTGATTAGAAGCCCCGATGTATCAAAGGTGGACTGTATCATGACCATGCTGTACAGTACTTGAGATCTGGACTGGCCTCTTACTAGACAGTTATTTAGGTAAGGGAATACATGGACTCCTGATGTTCACAGGAGTGCCGCTACCACAGCCATGCACTTCATGAACTGCAAGGAGCTGCTGACAAGCCAAAGGGCAACACTGTAATTGGTAGTGTGATCCATTGACCACAAAGCTGAGGAATTTTTGATAGCTCTGGAGAACTGCCACATGAAAATAAGAGTCTTAAATCGAGAGCAGCATACCAGTCCCCAGAATCTAAGGAAGGGATACTAGAAAGCTAGAGTGATCAACCAGAATTTTATTTTCTTTAGGAATTTGCTTATCTGTCTTTGATCCAAAAAAAGCCTGAGACATGACCTAACACCCGCCCCTTTGCTTTCAGGATTAGGAAATATCAGAAATAAAATGCTTTCCTTTTGAGCAACATGGTAACTTTCTCTATGGCCCGCGAGAAACAAACTGAAGGGTGTATCCCCATTCCACTAGGCTTAGGACCCCCTGATCTATGGTAATGCAGGACCAAGAACTTAGGACGTGGGGCAGGTGGTTGGCAAATATTGGGGTAGAGAAAAGTGGTACTCTGGGGAGTGCTAGACTGTTCTCTACCAATGGGTCAAAATGTTTGTTTAGAGGACCCAGTTTACTTAGGTGATCTGGCAGCTGCAGAAGAGCACGGAGGAGGAGGATGCCTCTTGTAACTTTTGCCCCTCTTTTTGTCATATACTAGTCCTGGGTATGCGGCATGAAAGGAGGAAACTGTTGGGACTGCCACAGGCAGAACAGTTTGGTTTTTTGAGGTTTTGAAGTGCTGTATAAATCCCTGGAAACTTAAGGGTTCCCTTGAATCCTTCCTGAATGGTTTGTTGCACTTTTGAGGGAAGACCTGATGACTGCAGCCAGGAAGCAATGCACATAGCGATGGCAGTGAGAGGCAGGGAAGATAGTGCCTGACATAATGCCCTGACAGCTCCAAGATAGCCTCATTAACAGGGAGAGCTACCATGGAGGATCTCACCTAGACTGGTGGACATTTTAGCCTGTGTGACTTTTCCTGTACCTCTTCTAGTTAGATATCCAGAGCTGCAGCGACCCTCCTCAATAAGTCCTGATAAACTTTACAATCATCACGAGCAGCAGAAGCAGACTCTTATCACTACCTCATCATTCAATGAAGAAGAGGAGACTAAGGGTTGTTGATATGGAGTCTCATCCAACTCCTCCACAAGCAAATTCAGAGCACGAAGTTCCCTGTGCATGGTAACAGTCTCAGGGTGGGCAGATGCTCCCAATGCCTAGCTGATGTAATAGGGTGGGAAGGGAGCAGAGATGTTCTAAACTGTGGAGTGTAACCCCAAGGGTTCCAAAAGGGCCACAGATATGGAGATGGGCACCAGTTATGTCAGGCCATTGGTCCTCAGAATGCTGAGGAATACCATGGTGGACAGGCACCACATTGGGGCTGCTGAACATATCCCGCCCGAGACACATAAGAGCTGACTTCAGAGTCTGATAAAGAGTCCACTTTCTCAGACCACAGGGAAGCTGATCCATCAGTACCGGGGAGGTTCTCAGCCTGGAGATGGAGGTACTAGCAAGATCATTTCTGGCTTCCCTCTAGATAGAATCCTCTTGAGAGGTGCATTAACTGTAGCAGCCACCAGCACCAAACAGTTTGTCAGGTCTGGAGCCAGAACCAATGAATCATGTACACCAGACCCTGGTAACCAGGCAGGAGTCCTGAATAGATGGGGAAATTGGTACCGACGGGTTCAACTATTCCCAAGCTGCCTCATAAGACTCTGGCATAGACAACACCAGAGAAGGCTCCTAGTTCTGCCGTACCAAAATCTGCGTTGGTACTTCAGGGATTGGTTTCAAAGGATTTCCATGTCCTTGCCTCTATTCAGTGCATTCACTGAAGATTATGAAGACCCCGATATGAAGTCTTTAGAGGACTTACGTTGCCTCTTCTACAGTACTAATGACAAATATGTGCCCTTCAACTCAGTCAGATCAGGGGGAGCACTCCTAACAGATCTGGCTGTGCTCAGTATTCACTCTGAGCAGAAAAGGCTGCAATGGTAGGCAAGGCACAGACTCCATGAGCAGATACTTGAGTCTGGCTGCCTTGTCTTTCTTTGAGCAGGGTTTGAACCCCCTAAAAATGTGACATTTGCCACTGTACTGAGGTGGTATGGCCTCCCTCTGAGCCAGAGAGGAAGGAACCACTCTCTGTGACGAGTGGGTGGAGTCAGGCTGGGCTTACCCCACCCACCAAAAGTTGAGAGGTGGGAGAGAAAGTACAAAAGACAGAGCTTCCAGCTCAGTTGGAGCCCAGCCAGGGAAGGAGGCAGAGGTACCTTGCTCACAGCAGGCCTCTGACTCTGCTGCCAAGCTCAAGCAGTGCCCTGACCCCAGAGGAGACTGAGTCCACAGGGAAGCTGCTGGGACTGCTGTTGGCAATCCACCCGGTGAGACAGAGGACACCCACAGAGCCAAGATATCGAACAACAAGATGGTAGGAAGTGGCCCAGGGAGACTATACTGTAGTCCGGTTGGGTGGTTGCCTGAATCCAGGTCAGCATGTTGCAGCTGGATCCCCGCTGACCCAGTGGCAAAACACTCCGCCACTGTTAGGGCCCTGGGCAGGGACCCGGTGGAGTAGGGGGGACCAGAGTCCCCCTACCCACTTGCTGCCAACTGCACCCCTGGGGTGGTAGCCTCTCTGCCTATAGACCACTTGTTTGCTCCGCCCCTGCCCAAGGGCCGGAGCCCATAGTGTGCTTGTTTGCTCTGCCCTGACCGAGGGCCAAAGCCTATAGACTGCTTGTTTGCAGTGGCCCCTGCCTGAGGGCCAGAGCCCACAGATTGCTTGTTAGCTCTGCCCTGCCTGAGGGTCAGAGCCCATAGACTGTTTGGTGCTTTGCCCTGCTGAGAGGATCAGGCTGCTCACACCTGATCTGCTAATTCCCCTGACATTAGGCTGTGACTGCAGTGACAAAGTGAGGCGGTGTGGCCTCCCACCAAACCAGAGGGGGAGAGATGCCTTCCCGCACACTACACTCAGTCACATGCACCTTCCCTAGACACTTAAGACAGCTGGCATGAGTGACAGGACTTGAAGCCCAGAGAACAAGGTATGAAGCCGGTACGAGTACTAATCGGGAACCAGTGAATCCATGCTAATAAATACTTACTTTTAGTTTTAAACTATGTACAAAAACTCTAAATTAGCCTAAAACTAACACAACAGGTATTATGTACCCTAAAGAGGAAAGGAATTGGAAATGCGAGCATAGCATCTCTAACAACAACAACTGGTGGTAGGAAGGAAGGGGACTGGGGGCAGAGCTACCCTTTATACCTGCATGCAGTGGCACAAGGCAGCAGAGAGCACTCATGCCACCCTGATAGGTACTGCTCAGGGGAAAATCTCTGACAATTGTGCATGAGGCATGCACACACCTACAGTGGAATGGACATGGACAATCACGCGAAGAAGAATTCTTTTTTTCAGCCAGCTCTAATTAATTCTTCATATGAACTAGGGAAAACACCATGGATCCAATCCATTGTTTTTGGAATTGCTGAAGATTACCACCATACAAAAAATAGCCCTGATCAAATTCCTCAACCTGTATCTGAAAAAGGTGCAAGATATGCATAATTTAGTTTGAAAGATTAAATTTCTATAGTTCCCAAAAGCAAAAGCAACATTTGACAGACGAGGCAATGAGACCAGGAACAATGTGAAACATTTCAGACATTATCAGCTATTGATATTATTCAACATAATAACAATACTCAACATGTAGCAAGTAATTGCTTATGAATACTGTAGGGCTTTCAATTTAAATAGGTTTTATTTCTTGGCCTTCGATTATCATTTTATGAGTCAATACAGTGCCCTCTATCTCTATACACAGATGCCATGTACATAAATATATTTATCTGTTAGAAAAACTTCTTACCTTTGTAACTTATTTGTTTGTCTTTCAAATACTTTCATTATGTCTAGTATGCGAGTGCTCATTGTTTCAATTGTTTCTGTGGAAAAAAAATAAACTTGTAAAAAACTTCTCACAAAACTAAGTGATTGGGCAACAAAATGGCAAATGAAATTTAATGTGGATAAATGTAAAGTAATGCACATTGGAAAAAATAACCCCAACTATACATACAATATGATGGAGGCTAATTTAGCTACAACTAATCAGGAGAAAGATCTTGGAGTCATTGTGGATAGTTCTCTGAAGACGTCCACGCAGTATGCAGCGGCAGTCAAAAAAGCAAACGGCATGTCAGAAATCATTAAAAAAGGAATAGAGAATAAGACGGAGAATATCTTATTGCCCTTATATAAATCCATGGTACGCCCACATCTTGAATACTGCCTACAGGTGGGGTCCCCTCATCTCAAAAAAGGTTATTAGAAAAGGTTCATTAAAGGTGGCATTAGAAAAGGTTCAGAAAAGGGCAACTAAAAATATTAGGGGTTTGGAACGGGTCCCATATGAGGAGAGATTAAAAAGGCTAGGACTTTTCAGCTTGGAAAAGAGGAGGCTAGGGGGGATATGATAGAGGTATATAAAATCATGAGTGATGTGGAGAAAGTGAATAAGGAAAAGTTATTTACTTGTTCCCATAATATAAGAACTAGGAGCCACCTAATGAAATTAACGGTAGCAGGTTTAAAACAAATATAAGGAAGTTCTTCTTCACTCAGTGCACAGTCAACCTGTGGAACTCCTTGCCTGAGGAGGTTGTGAAAGCTAGGACTATAACTGGGTTTAAAAGAGAACTGGATAAATTCATGGAGGTTAAGTCCATTAATGGCTATTAGCCAGGATGGGTAAGGAATGGTGTCCCTAGCCTCTGTTTGTCAGAGGGTGGAGATGGATGGCAGGCGTTTGAGGCGCAAGTGGTATTTTCGTCCATCCTCCCCGTTGAAGGAAAAGGCCTGGGTAGAGACGGTTGAATCGTGGATGTCAACGAATGGCTACGCAGGTGGTGTCGTAGAGAAGGCTTTGGATTCTTTGACCATAGGATAGTGTTACAAGAACGAGGATTGCTAGGCAGAGACGGGCTTCACCTAACGAAGAGAGGGAAGAGCATCTTCGCAAGCAGGCTGGCTAACCTAGTGAGGAGGGCTTTAAACTAGGTTCACTGGGGGAAGGAGACCAAAGCCCTGAGGTAAGTGGGGACGTGGGATACCGGGAGGAAGCACAAGCAGGAGAAAGCGAAAGGCGAGGGCTCCTGCCTCATACTAAGAAAGCAGGATAAACAGCAAGTTATCTCAAGTGCCTATACACAAATGCAAGAAGCCTGGGAAACAAGCAGGGAGAACTGGAAGTCCTGGCACAGTCAAAGAATTATGATGCAATTGGAATAAACAGAGACTTGGTGGGATAACTCACATGACTGGAGTACTGTCATGGACGGATATAAACTGTCCAGGAAGGACAGGCAGGGCAGAAAAGGTGGGGGAGTTGCATTGTATGTAAGAGAGCAGTATGACTGCTCAGAGCTCCGGTATGAAACTGCAGAAAAACCTGAGTGTCTCTGGATTAAGTTTAGAAGCAACAAGGGTGATGTCGTAGTGGGAGTCTGCTATAGAGCACCGGATCAGGGGGATGAGGTGGACGAGGCATTCTTCTGGAAACTAACGGAAGTTACTAGATCGCAGGCTCTGGTTCTTATGGGAGACTTCAATCACCCTGATATCTGCTGGGAGAGCAATACAGCAGTGCACAGACAATCCAGGAAATTTTTGGAAAGTGTAGGGGACAATTTCCTGGTGCAAGTGCTGGGGGAACCAACTAGGGGCAGAGCTCTTCTTGACCTGCTGCTCACAAACCAGGAAGAATTAGTAGGGGAAGCAAAAGTGGATGGGAATCTGGGAGGCAGTGACCATGAGATGGTAGAGTTCAGGATCCCGACACAGGGAAGAAAGGAGAGCAGCAGAATATGGACCCTGGACTTCAGAAAAGCAGACTTTGACTCCCTCAGGGAACTGATGGGCAGGATCCCCTGGGAAAATAACATGAGGGGGAAAGGAGTCCAGGAGAGCTGGCTGTATTTTAAAGAATCCTTAGTGAGGTTACAGGGACAAACCATCCCGATGTGTAGAAAGAATAGTAAATATGGCAGGTGACCAGCTTGGCTTAACAGTGAAATCCTTGCTGATCCAAAACACAAAAAAGAAGCTGACAAGAGGTGGAAGATTGGACAAATGACCAGGGAAGAGTATAAAAATATTGCTTGGGCATGCAGGAGTGAAATCAGGAAGGCCAAATCACATCTGGAGGTGCAGCTAGCAAGAGATGTTAAGAGTAACAAGAAGGGTTTCTTCAGGTATGTTAGCAACAAGAAGAAAGTCAAGGAAAGTGTGGGCCCCTTACTGAATGAGGGAGGCAACCTAGTGACAGAGAATGTGGAAAAAGCTAATGTACTCAATGCTTTTTTTGCCTCTGTCTTCACGAACAAGGTCAGCACCCAGACTACTGCATTGGGCAGCACAGCATGGGGAGGAGGTGACTTGCTCTCTGTGAAGAAAAAAGTGGTTCGGGACTATTTAGAAAATCTGGAAGAGCACAAGTACATGGGGCCGGATGCGCTGCATACGAGAGTGCTAAAGGAGTTGGCGGACGTGATGCATCCGAGAGTCCTAAAGGAGTTGGCGGATATGATTGCAGAGCCATTGGCCATTATCTTTGAAAATTCATGGCGATCGGGGGAGGTCCCGGACGACAGGAAAAAGGCTTATGTAGTGCCCATCTTTAAAAAAGAGAAGAAGGAGAGCTACAGGCCAGTCAGCCTCACCTCAGTCCCTGGAAAAATCATGGAGCAGGTCCTCAAGGAATCAATTCTGAAGCACTTAGAGGAGAGGAAAGTGATCAGGAACACTCAGCATGGATTCACCAAGGGCAAGTCATGCCTGACTAATCTAATTGCCTTCTTAAAAATAGCCAGAGCTTCGCAAACCAGCTGAGCGGCGGCGAACCAGCTGAGCAGCGGGGAACAGCAGAGCAGCACACAGCAAGAGTTTGCCTGGGAGTTTGCCTGGGGTGAGCCCAGTGAGGCTTACATCTTACCAACTTCTCTGAGGAAGCTCATAGTAGGAAGGTGATATGGAAGGGGGGGTTCAACTGTTGTGACCTGCACTGAATGTGCCACGTTTGTCTTTCTTCCACAGGACAGAAGCAACTTTGTCTGTACAAAGTACAAGCTGGCCTCCATATTGGAAGAGAAGATTGAAGGTCTGGAGCAACAGATAACGACCCTGAGTTGCATACGAGAATCTAAGGATTTTCTGGACAAAAGTCAGGATATGCTTCTACGGGCACAAAGCTGTAAACATTTAGAGCAGGTTGCACAGCGGAGCCAAGAGGCCAATGAAGAAGCTTGGCAACATGTGACCTCCAGAAGAAGAAGGGGGAATGTCCGGGTTCCAGCAACGCAGACACAGGTAACTAACCGCTTTCATGTTCTCTCCACAGGTACCATTGCGGAGAGTGGACCAGATGATACGTCTGGGGGGAGAAAGCAGAAGGAGACTCCGCTGGTTGGAAGGCATGAGATGCACTGTCCTGAGATTGGGGGTTCCACGACCACCACTCCCAAGAGAAGGAGGCGGGTGGTGGTGGTCGGGGATTCTCTCCTCCAGGGGACTGAGTCATCTATCTGCCGCCCTGACTGGGAAAACCGAGAAGTCTGCTGCTTGCCAGGGGCTAAGATTCACGATGTGACGGAGAGACTGCCAAGACTCATCAAGCCCTCGGATCGCTACCCCTTCCTGCTTCTCCACGTCGGCACCAATGATACTGCCAAGAATGACCTTGAGCAGATCACTGCGGACTACATGGCTCTGGGAAGAAGGATAAAGGAGTTTGAGGCGCAAGTGGTGTTCTTGTCCATCCTCCCCGTGGAAGGAAAAGGCCTGGGTAGGGACCGTCGAATCGTGGAAGTCAACGAATGGCTACGCAGATGGTGTCGGAGAGAAGGCTTTGGATTCTTTGACCATGGGATGGTGTTCCATGGAGGAGTGCTGGGCAGAGACGGACTCCACCTTACGAAGAGAGGGAAGAGAATCTTTGCGAGCAGGCTGGCTAACCTAGTGAGGAGGGCTTTAAACTAGGTTCACCGGGGGAAGGAGACCAAAGCCCTGAGGTAAGTGGGAAAGTGGGATACCGGGAGGAAGCACAGGCAGGAATGTCTGTGAGGGGAGGGCTCCTGCCTCATATTGAGAATGAGGGGCGATCAGCAGGTTATCTCAAGTGCTTATATACAAATGCACAAAGCCTTGGAAACAAGCAGGGAGAACTGGAAGTCCTGGTGATGTCAAGGAATTCTGTCGTGATTGGAATAACAGAGACTTGGTGGGAGGACTGGAGTACTGTCATGGATGGTTATAAACTGTTCAGGAAGGACAGGCAGGGCAGAAAAGGTGGGGGAGTAGCACTGTATGTAAGGGAGCAGTATGACTGCTCAGAGCTCCGGTACGAAACTGCAGAAAAACCTGAGTGTCTCTGGATTAAGTTTAGAAGTGTGAGCAACAAGAGTGATGTAGTGGTGGGAGTCTGCTATAGACCACCGGACCAGGGGGATGAGGTGGATGAGGCTTTCTTCCGGCAACTCGCAGAAGCTACTAGATCGCACGCCCTGGTTCTCATGGGTGACTTTAATTTTCCTGATATCTGCTGGGAGAGCAATACAGCGGTGCACAGACAATCCAGGAAGTTTTTGGGGGACTAACATGAAGGGGAAAGGAGTCCAGGAGAGCTGGCTGTATTTCAAGGAATCCCTGTTGAGGTTACAGGGACAAACCATCCTGATGAGTCGAAAGAATAGTAAATATGGCAGGCGACCAGCTTGGCTTAACGGTGAAATCCTAGAAGATCTTAAACATAAAAAAGAAGCTTACAAGAAGTGGAAGGTTGGACATATGACCAGGGAAGAGTGTAAAAATATTGCTCGGGCATGTAGGAATGAAATCAGGAGGGCCAAATTGCACCTGGAGCTGCAGCTAGCAAGAGATGTCAAGAGTAAGAAGAAGGGTTTCTTCAGGTATGTTGGCAACAAGAAGAAAGCCAAGGAAAGTGTGGGCCCCTTACTGAATGAGGGAGGCAACCTAGTGACAGAGGATGTGGAAAAAGCTAATGTACTCAATGCTTTTTTTGCCTCTGTCTTCACGAACAAGGTCAGCTCCCAGACTGCTGCGCTGGGCATCACAACATGGGGAATAGATGGCCAGCCCTCTGTGGAAGAAAGAGGTGGTTAGGGACTATTTAGAAAAACTGGACGTGCACAAGTCCATGGGGCTGGACGAGTTGCATCCGAGAGTGCTAAAGGAACTGGCGGCTGTGATTGCAGAGCCATTGGCCATTATCTTTGAAAACTCGTGGCGAACGGGAGAAGTCCCAGATGACTGGAAAAAGGCTAATGTAGTGCCAATCTTTAAAAAAGGGAAGAAGGAGGATCCTGGGAACTACAGGCCAGTCAGACTCACCTCAGTCCCCAGAAAAATCATGGAGCAGGTCCTCAAAGAATCAATCCTGAAGCACTTACATGAGAGGAAAGTGATCAGGAACAGTCAGCATGGATTCACCAAGGGAAGGTCATGCCTGACTAATCTAATCGCCTTCTATGATGAGATTACTGGTTCTGTGGATGAAGGGAAAGCAGCGGGTGTATTGTTTCTTGACTTTAGCAAAGCTTTTGACACGGTCTCCCACAGTATTCTTGCCAGCAAGTTAAAGAAGTATGGGCTCGATGAATGCACTATAAGGTGGGTAGAAAGTTGCCTAGATTGTTGGGCTCAACGGGTAGTGATCAATGGCTCCATGTCTAGTTGGCAGCCGGTGTCAAGTGGAGTGCCCCAGGGGTGGGTCCTGGGGCCGGTTTTATTCAATATCTTTATAAATGATCTGGAGGATGGTGTGGATTGCACTCTCAGCAAATTTGCGGATGATACTAAACTAGGAGGAGTGGTAGATACGGTGGCAGGTAGGGATAGGATACAGAGGGACCTAGACAAATTGGAGGATTGGGCCAAAAGAAATCTGATGAGGTTCAATAAGGATAAGTGCAGGGTCCTGCACTTAGGACGGAAGAACCCAATGCACCGCTACAGACAAGGGACCGAATGGCTAGGCAGCAGTTCTGTGGAAAAGCCCTACAGTATTCATAAGCAATTCTGCAGATTGAATTCTGCTTATGAATACTGTAGGGCTTTCAAATACTTTCATTATGTCTAGTATGCGAGTGCTCATTGTTTAGTCTGCGGAAGAGAAGATTGAGGGGGGATTTGATAGCTGCTTTCAACTACCTGAAAGGGGGCTCCAAAGAGGATGGATCTAGACTGTTCTCTGTGGTAGCAGACGACAGAACAAGGAGTAATGGTCTCAAGTTGCAGTGGGGGAGGTTTAGGTTGGATATTAGGAAAAACTTTTTCACTAGGAGGGTGGTGAAACACTGGAATGCATTACCTAGGTAGTTGGTGGAATCTCCTTCCTTAGAAGTTCTTAAGGTCAGGATTGACAAAGCCCTGGCTGGGATGATTTAGTTGGGGATTGGTCCTGCTTTGAGCAGGGGGTTGGACTAGATGACCTCCTGAGGTCCCTTCCAACCCTGATATTCTATCATTCTATGAGAGAGATCACTTCTTCATTACCTATTATGTTCACCCCCTCTGGGGCACCTGGCATTGGCCACTGTCGGTAGACAGGATACTGGGCTGGATGGACCTTTGGTCTGACCCAGTATGGCCATTCTTATGTTGTTCTTAAAACATTTATTTGCTACACAAGAGCTTTTAAAGGAAGTTACAGTCAGACTAACCAGATTCAGCCATTTCCCAGTCCTATCAACCCTTTCTTTCTCAGATAAAAATCCCAAAGATGTGATCCTTGGACTCTGCCTGGTTCCCCTGGGTCTCAGTAGAGTGATACAACCCATGACAGGGCAAAAAAAAAAATCTAAAATATTTTGACTTACATTTTATGTTTTAGCAAATCTTTAGCAGTCTTAACAACTTACGTGGTGTCAGGTCATTTTCAAAAGCATGTGTCATGCTGACTACATCCTCAGTCCCATGTTTCATTACAAGATCTGGAACAGAATAGAGCAATGTTTACATTATTATACTGCTGGTCAGTAAAAAAGCCATTTTATGCAATATTAACACAGATTATTTAAAAATATTTCTCAGAAAGGGTTGTGACGTTGCACTCTATATGATTTTATTAAAAATATGCTAATGAGTGTGAATATAATGTAACTGGAATATGCTTCATGCAAAAGGTCTCGTAAGGTATAATTACAAAGCTTGTAATCTACTGAGTGTAGTCATCCTATTTGTATAAATGTATCACTCTTGTGTCTGAAACTAGATATATGAAATATAACTCTGCGGTCCTATTGTAGTTATGCAAAGTGTGGGCCATTAATGGTGGTTTGGAATCTTAATGGTTCCCATTAACCAGGACAATTGACTGTAGATGGCTCTGTTTTACTTGTAAGTCTTCCTGTATACCTGTGGGCTGGCAAGTGGGTAATGAAGTCTTACAGTGACATGTGATCATGCCACCTGAACTGGAGTCCATCTTTAAACTGGTGCTTTTCCATTGAGAAGGAGGGGTGGGAACCCAGAGGGACAAAGGATTCCCGCCTTATGCAAAAGATATATAAGTGGGTGGAACAGAACAAAGGGGGCGGCCATCATGAGAAATCCCCTAGCTACCACCTGAGCTGGAACAAGGGCTGTACCAGGGGAAAGGATTGTGCCCAGACTAGGAAGACGTCCAGTCTGAAAGAAATGTATTGAAACATCTCGGAGGGTGAGATTTTATCCGTATTCAGTTTTATTACTGTACTAGACTTAAACTTGCGTGTTTTATTTTATTTGCTTGGTAATTCACTTTGTTCTGTCTGTTACTACTTGGAACCACTTAAATCCTACTTTCTGTATTTAATAAAATCGCTTTTTACTTATTAATTAACCCAGTGTATGTATTAATACCTGGGGGGGCAAACAGCTGTGCATATCACTATCAGTGTTATAGAGGGCGAACAATTTATGAATTTACCCTGTATATGCTTTATACAGGGTAAAACGGATTTATTTGGGGTTTGGACCCCATTGGGAGTTGGGCATCTGAGTGTAAAAGACAGGAACACTTCTTAAGTTGCTTTCAGTTAAGTCTGCAGCTTTGGGGCATGTGGTTCTGGGTCTGTCCTGGAGCAGACTGGCAAGTCTGGCTCAGCAAAACAGGGTTCTGGAGTCCCAAGCTGGCAGGGAAAGCAGGAGTAGTAGTAGTCTTGGCACATCAGTTGACAGCCCCAACGGGGTTTCTGTGATCCAACCCGTCACAAGGGTATCCAACTTATATCACTAATTCACAAGTGAAAGCAGAATTGTGGTAATGTTGTTAGTAGAAGGGTGGTGGGGTTCCTCTATTGACCCACCTTATTAGCAGGAGTTAGAATCCTGCACCAATCTACTGAATACATTCTGCTTTTACTTGTTGTGGGAGGAGCAACTCATTAACTCCATCAAAATATAAATGAGGTGAGAGTTACCTTCTTGTTGGAAGGAATTAAGGTTTGTGGCAGAGAAGTCTCTTATTAGAGGTCTCTGCATGCAATAACTAATCTTGGATAGAAATTTAAATTGAGATTCATGCTATGTTGTTGCTGTTTCAACTACCAGTGAAACCAAACCTCAGGAAAGGGTAAGCTTGAAGAATACACTGACTGTGTATAAAGAAAAGGAGTACTTGTGGCACCTTAGAGACTAACCAATTTATTTGAGCATAAGCATCCGATGAAGTGAGCTGTAGCTCACGAAAGCTTATGCTCAAATAAATTGGTTAGTCTCTAAGGTGCCACAAGTACTCCTTTTCTTTTTGCAAATACAGACTAACACAGCTGTTACTCTGAAACCTGACTGTGTATATTCTCTCTTTCCCCAAAAATCACATTTCCCTGGATGGACAATATTTAGTCCTAAGTCATTGAAAGATTTAAGGTATGAACTTGTGAACCATTAAAGCTAGAAAAAGCTGGAAAGTCCTCCTTTTGGGTTTTAAAAGAGGTATTCTTCCAGTCCTGGAAGTATATGTTTTTAAAGTATATCACAGTGTTGTGATTTATAGAAAAACTATATTATGTCATGTTCCTCTCTCTCTCTGAGGCCAGTGAAGTGTATTCATAGTAATTAATGCAGCCTGGCTTTAAAGATGGGCAAATTGAAAAAAACAGTACCACTCAAAATTGTAGAACTCTTTAAAACTAATTTGAACTATTTCTAAAATAATTCTTTTGTAAGTATACCGTACTAACAGAACACATGACAATATGGCTCTTTAATAACTTACATGAATAGAAGTGTTGACTTAAACCATTCTGCATTCCAAAACATGGAAACAAATCAATATCATTCTCACCTTCTAAAATAGCCTTTGGATCTCTATGACTTGATGATACTGGGCTTGCTCGTTTTTTCTTTTCCCTGTCAAAATTTACAGTATTTCAAAGACTAAATCTAGTTTTAAAGAGATAATATCAAGTAGTAAAGAGCTAAAAATTGTACCCACCTCAAAATTGTTCCAATCTGATGAGGAGAGTCCTCCAGATTCTAAGGCCTATATTCTACTCTTATTTCAGTGGTGAAATTCCCAGTGACGCCACTGGGAGTCTTATAAGAATAGAAGATAGCCCCAAATGATTTTTAATCTATTTATATTGCCAAGAAATGCACAAATGTAACTGTTTTATTCCACATATTTTGTGCTATCTTAAAAGTAAGAAAACATTGAAATGCACATGCACAAGAGAGCAGAATTAAAGTTCTTAATCTTTTTGGGAGTCCAAATTTCAGCCATATTCTTGCAATCAGTTATTTGCATTAAAATATTTTTAAAAATAGGAAAATAAAAGTAATTTATACATAAAATTGTATTCTTTACCTGCCTGTAAGCATTACTATACATTGTACAGCTTCTTAAGCACCACTTTAAATAAGGTTTCCATCCTAAAACCTCATCTCTATGGCTTAATAATACAGTAACATTAAATGCAATTTATTGTGCCTTTCATAAAGATCCCAACGCACTTTAAAAAATATGTTCACACTGTATAAATAGAACACTTCACCCGATATTGAAATCCAGCCTTCTCTAGGGTGAAACACTAGCAGCGTACACAAGCAACGGTGTTAGTGTAGTAAACAAAGAACACCATATACAATTGAAGATGCAAGGCGTAACTACAATTTGTTCACTGTACCTGTACTCCCAAGCTGCATTTTATTCAGGACTCTGGAGTTAATGTCTTATTCTAGTAAAAATGTCATGCAGGAGCGCTGGAATAGGGGCCATGCCCCCCCCCCACATTCCCCTCCCACTTTTTACCAGCCATAAGGGTGAGCAACGGGAAAAAGGGGATGGAGAAAAGCAGAGAGGAGTGACTGGGGGAGCGGGGTCTTGGGCGGAAGAGGGGGCGCAAGGGTGGCGGCTCAGGGAAAAGGGGTGGCATGAGGGTGGGGCCTCAGTGGGAATGTGCAGAATGAGGGCAGTGACTCAAGTGAGGGGACAGGGCCTAACGGAAGTGGTGTGACAAGAGGCCATAGTTCGGGCACTTGTGACCCCTCCCCCCCACTTTTAAGGTGCTTCCTCTACTCCTTATGTCATGCAATCAATCCTGGAGTAGATTCCCACCAGTCTTTCAGTACTGAACAGAGAGGGGAATTCCAATCCACCCTGTAGTCTTCCTGTCTTGGGCCCTGAATTTGAGGCAACAACCTGAGTTTGCTACCTAAATTCTGCCTTCCTAAAGCTATTTTCTCCTTCATGGTGAAACAGTCTCTACTTCTCTCTCTCACACACACACACACATACACACAGAAAGGACCACTAAACCTACAAATGGTTGAAAAACATGCAATCCTTTTCCTCTCCAGAGAGAGGATAAAGTAAATCCTTGAAATAGAATGCTACTGCAATGGCCACAATTTTGGCCAACACACCAGGGACATCCTGAGTTGAAAGCATGAGCTGTCACAGCTTGAGCTAAACAGACACACACACTATATCTGGGGCTATAAAACTCCTATCCTCTACGGATCAACATGGAGGGGAACCTGTAAGACAGATAGACAGACACACACACACCAGTGGTTACACTAACACAGACATTGCCTTTTGCTCTTCAGAGCGGAGGAAGTCTTTCAAACGTATACTGAAGTGAGTAGTATTAGAGTTGTGAGGATCTGACCTTCTCCAGCCCAACCCAGTCGCTGACCTGTTCATTTATTCCCATCCCCTAATTGTCAGCCTGCCCTTGCTCATATGCTCCAGGATGGTTTTCTGAGAGGCTAACAGGCTTCAATGATTTCGTGGTTAACCTTGCCCCACATACAGATTCCAGGCCTGATGTCCACATCTTTCAAACCCAGGAATGCTCCAGCCTCTCCTGGGTAGTATACCCCACCTCAATATTTTTAACAGACACAAGTGGTCAGGACTCTAAGGGGGTGTCTACACTACCCGCAAGATCGGCGGGCAGCGATCAATCCAACAGGGGTCGATTTATCATGTCTAAATCGACCCCCCGAGTGCTCTCCCGTCGACTCCTGTACTCCAGCTCCGTGAGAGGCACAGGCAGAGTCGACGGGGGAGTGGCAGCAGCCGACTCGCCACGATGAAGACACCACGGTAAGTCGATCTAAGTACGTCGACTTCAGCTACGTTATTCATGTAGCTAAAGTTGCGTAACTTAGATCGACACCCCCGCCCCCCGTGTACACCAGACCTAAGTATTATATTTCACCTGAAAGACTGCACCTCTGAAGTGCTGTACCACAGCATACCAGCAGTCATTTTAGATGCACTTTTTAATCACAAATAGTCATTGATAACCCATTATTTAAAAAAAAATATTTACAGAACAGTAGAATAAAAAATGTACTTGAAACCAGTTTTTTTCATCCTTGACAGAGTATAAAGGAACTCCCCATTTTCCATCCTTGCCCCACCTTCAAAGGTTTCCATCCTGTTCACCAGAACTGGACTCCCCTTTGGAGGTATTCAGTGCCACTCCTCAGCTAGAAGAGTCAGTGTAGAGCAATTAAAAACATTTCACCTTCCTTGTGAAGAAGCAGTTTGATTTCACATACCTCCCAGACTCAGTTCAGAAATAATATCTTAATTTCTCCTTTTCAGAAGTAGGGCAACTTGCATATTGCTATGGGGATTTTCTGGACCCACTTAAAAGTCACATTTTTATATAATTTAATTTAAACTCTGTCACTCTTAAATCTTCAAACTATGGTTCAATTTCTGCTTTGGAACATAAGGTCAGAAGTATATGCAAAAGCACATTTAAATAGGCAATTTTCCCTATATTTATTTGTACATTATAGGTCAAAAGAACATTTTCAAATACTCAATTTTCTTCTATATTTCACTCTTCCTCTATATTTAGTAATCCTAATACTATTTTACAGTTCTCTTACTGCTTGGCTGCAGGAATCTGGATGGACTTGGGCAGATCTTGAACACGGCCTTTCAGTTCTTCAAGCTTTTTGATGCGTTGCACTAATTTAGTAATGTTATTTGTTATGTCTTTATCAGCCAAAGGAAGCTGCCAATCTGGAACAAGTTCATCTTCTCCTAGCTGAAAGATCATTAGACACTGAAATATTCAATCTCTTAAAATCTATTTACAATACAGTGAGAAAATAAGCATTTATTACAAAATGTTTTTCTCCATAGCCATAAGCGAGCATAAATCTTTAAAAAGCTAGTATTTTACATCTCTGTTTATAGAACTTACATAGTAAGAAATAGTGTTGGTGGTTTGTTTGCTTTTTGCAACTGATTGTCAGATGGTCTGTTCACACGCCACAGATGCTCAAAATGGATAGCTGACTCTGTATTCTGATTCTTTTCAACAAAAAATATAATGAACTAACCAATGTCAGCTGAATCTTTTTAATATTATTGAACATCTTGCTATATATTATAGATCATACAAGGGAAGCAAGAACTATAAGGAGTTCAAATACTAATGTACTCTAGAAATTTTCAGAAAGGTGTCTTGTGAAAAAGGATTCTAAAAGGTTTTCATAGAAAGCTATTCAAAATGCAATAAAGCACTTTCTCTAACAAACTACATTACCAAGGATAGCCCTGAGCAATTGTTTTTGGTGGTGTGATTCTTTGTTTGTTTTGTTGATTGTTTTTTAAGAGAAAAGTCACAATTTCTGATCTTACCAGCAGAGTCTCAACCGTAACTATAATGTATTTATATATGAGCAGGGGCGGCAGGTTTGTAGAAATTTTGGTGGTGCCCAGAACACCCAGAACCCCCCCACACACACACACAAACTCCCCACACACACCTGCCTAAGGCTCTGGGAGGGAGTTTGGATGGGGGAGGGGGTCTGGGGTTCAGGCGATTGGGGTGCACGAGGGGGTGGGGATGCAGGCTCTGAGAGGGAGTTTGGGTGCAGAAGGGATGAGAGGTCAGGCTCTGAGAGGGAGTTTGGGTGCAGGGGGTCAGGCTCTGGGAGGGAGTTTGGTGGAGGACGGGGTCTAGGGTGCAGGCTCTGGGATGGAGTTTGGGTGCAGGCTCTGGGCTGGGGCAGGGGATTGGGGTGCAGGCTCTAGAAGGGAATTTGGGTGCAGAAGGGGTGAGAGGTCGGGCTCTGGGAGGGAGTTTGGGTGGAGGAGGGGGTCTGGAGTGCAGGATCTGGGAACGAGTTTGGGTGCTGGGTGCAGGCTCTGGGCAGGGTGCGGGGGTGCAGGAGGGGGTGGGTGTGTAGGCTCTGGCAGGGAGTTTGGGGACAAAAGTAGCTGCAGGGGACAGGTGGGACTGCAAGTGGGAGTTGGGGGGGGAGGGGGTGCAGGTTCTGGAAGTGGATGGGGGGGGGGTTCGATGCTTACCTGGTGCACCCCCTCCGGCAGCGGCTCCTAGCTGGGGCAGGCCCGGGGGTCTCCTCACGCTGCTGTCTGCAGGCACCACCCCTGCAGCTTCCCATTGGCCGCAGGGGCATTTGGGGTGGGGGCAGCACGCAGCAGCACAGCCCCCTCACACGGGCTGCGAGGACCTGCCGGCAGCCACGTGGAATGAGTGCGCGGGAAGCCACTCAGCCCCCCTGAGCTGCTGGGTAGTGGGGGAAGCCCCCAGGCTGTTTTAAATTACTCAGGGGCGGCAGGTGGGGCTGGGGGAAGTGCGGGGGGGAGGTGGGAAAGTTTGCTGGAGCCGGGTCCCTGGGACAGGAATATTCCTGGTGCTCGGGCACCACGGGCCCATAGAACTCGCCTCCCATGTATATGAGAGCTAGGGAGGTGATTGATTAAGACATTCACTATATCCCAGTTCTTTCTTATGAAAACTAAGCCAAAACTAAAACCAACAATTTTTAGGTGTTAGGTTTACCTCTTCCATCTGCTGAACTACCTTTCCAAACCACTTTAAGAGAAAAATATAAAGATTATCAGCCACTGGCAATCAAAATTCTACTTCAAAATAAAAGCATGATAATGACAAAATATGTATGTCAAAACAAAATTCTTACCTTAAGCAAAGATTCTAATAGCTAGAAAGACAAATATTAAGATCATTAAGGATTTTAAACAAACATACTATAATTAGAATTAAAGTATTATAAGTATGCCAAATATATGGTAATTCATCATTAGACAAGTTTACCTATTTGAATACAACCAACTTTTTCAGAGAGAATCAGTCACCATCATCATTTCTACCATGACAAGATGACAATATGTAAGGTTATTACAAGAGAAAAACAAGAGTTTGATTTAAAAGGTACTGCTTTATTCTGACAGATTCAAGTGCATGCGGTAAACAATACTTTTATTTAACCCACGTATTTAATACACATTTTAATACCCAAGCTTCTGACACGAAGCATTCTGTACTTCCTGTTTACAGGAAAATAAATATAATGGCCAAGTACAGCTCTGGTATTCCATTTTTTAAAGAGGAATGGGGAGTGTGAAGTGTTGAGAGAGAGTAAATAAATATTGGTAAAGCTGGTAGCAGAACATTTAAGAAAGAAGGGAAAGGCTTAACAAATGGAAGAGAGGAATAAAAATGTTTAAGGTAATACCAAATAAAAGAGAATATTGAAGAGTAAAGTAAGGTGAAGAGAAGCAGTTCAGACAAGGAAAAAAATGTTTTTAAGATAAAGGAAATAAACAGAAGGAGAGAAATGGTTTTAGGGAAGCAAAAAACCCTAGAGAGAATCAAATCTCACCACCTGTGCAAAATGTTCTAGGGGTTACAGTGGACGAGAAGCTGGATATGAGTCAACAGTGTGCTCTTGTTGCCAAGAAGGACAATGGCATTTTGGGATGTATATGTAGGGACATTGTCAGCAGATCGAGGGACGTGATCATTCCCCTCTATTCGACATTGGTGAGGCCTCATCTGGAGTACTGTGTCCAGTTTTGGGCCCCACACTACAAGAAGGATGTGGAAAAATTGGAAAGAGTCCAGCGGAGGGCAACAAAAATGATTAGGGGACTGGAACACATGACTTATGAGGAGAGGCTGAGGGAACTGGGATTGTTTAGTCTGCAGAAGAGAAGAATGAGGGGGGATTTGACAGCTGCTTTCAACTACCTGAAAGGGGGCTCCAAAGAGGATGGATCTAGACTGTTCTCAGTGGTAGCAGATGACAGGACAAGGAGTAATGGTCTCAAGTTGCAGTGGGGGAGGTTTAGGTTGGATATTAGGAAAAACTTTTTCACTAGGAGGGTGGTGAAACACTGTGTTTCCTAGGGAGGTGGTAGAATCTCCTTCCTTAGATATTTTTAAGGTCAGGCTTGACAAAGCCCTGGCTGGGATGATTTAGTTGGGGATTGGTCCTGCTTTGAGCAGGGGGTTGGACTAGATGACCTCCTGAGGTCCCTTCCAACCCTGATATTCTATCATTCTATGATTCTATGCACTGGACTCCCACACCGAGGACTTCATGTGATACTATTGTTTTGTTCATATCTTTTTTTAAAGGGGTTAATTTTAATTCAAGTAAGCAAAATGACTGAACTGCACAATCTCTCCTAACTCATTCATTGCAAGCCCTCACAGGGCTTTTGTCTACAATGGACTCTGAGGAGTTCTCTGTTTAAATACATCCTTTGTACTGTTAAACCAGATGATCACTTCCTATTTTAAATTTAAAAATCCATTAACCTTCTAGTTTTATCAGATGTACTCTATGTGATTCTGGATCCTCCCTATCACTACAATATTTCATAATGGCTTAACATTTCTCACTGTTCAACATTTTTTTTCCAGTAGTTCATACACTCTGTGCTAGGCATCACCAAACAAAAAAGGAGGCACAGATTCAAACCAAGCAACAAATTTTCCATCTAATAAAGGTGAACATTTTAAAGATTTTTTTTCAATTCCCTAAGCCTTCTTTTAAAAAAAAATAGAATTAGCATTATGCTAATTAAATCTCTATTTTTAGTATTTGTATAAACTACTTATACCCTAATATAACTCTCACTCATCATCCCCTGGGATGTAGGGGTGTCACATTGAACTCCAGTAACCTCCTGTGGCTCCAGCTTTCCTCTCTTGGAGGGAATAACATTGCAACAAGTTGGCTTTATGGTGGAGTAAAAAGAGTTGTGGGAAAAGGGGCTTTAGTTGTTTGAGAAGTACTTAGGAAGATTCCAACTCTCCAAATATAATATAACATTTTCTCAAATATTCTTGAGAGATGTTGAGAGTTTAAATACTTTTAAAGTAGGGCTGTCAAGCGATTAAAAAAATTAATTGTGATTAATCGCACTGTTAAACAATAATAAAATACCATTTATTTAAATATTTTTGGATGTTTTCTACATTTTCAAATATATTTATTTCAATTACAACACAGAATACAAAGTGTACAGTGCTCACTTTATATTTATTTTTGATTACAAGTATTTGCACCATAAAAACACAAAAGAAATAGTTTTCAGAGTAACAGCCGTGTTAGTCTGTATTCGCAAAAAGAAAAGGAGTACTTGTGGCACCTTAGAGACTAACCAATTTATTTGAGCATGAGCTTTCATGAGCTACAGCTCACTTCATCGGATGCATACCGTAATCTAAATACTGTAGTGCAATCTCTTTTTCATGAAAGTTGAACTTATAAATGTAGAATTATGTACAAAAAACCTGTATTCAAAAATAAAAAAATGTAAAACTTTAGAGCCTACAAGTCCACCCAATCCTAACTTCTTATTCAGCCAATCGCTCAGTCAAACAAGTTTGTTTACATTTACAGGAGATAATACTGCCTGCTTTTTGTTTACAATGTCACCTGAAAGTGAGAACAGGCATTCTCATAGCACTGTTGTAGCTGGCATCACAAGATATTTACGTGCCAGATGCACTAAAGATTCATATGTCCCTTCATGCTTCAACTACCATTCCAGGGGACATGCATCCATGCTGTTGATAGGTTCTGCTCGATAACAATCCAAAGCAATGCGGACCAACGCATGTTCATTTTCATCCTCTGAGTAAATGCCATCACCAGAAGGTTGATTTTCTTTTTTGGTGATTCGGGTTCTTTAGTTTCCGCATCTAAGTGTTGCTCTTTTAAGACTTCTGAAAGCATGTTCCACACCACAGCCCTCTCAGATTTTGGAAAGCACTTCAGATTTTTAAACCTTGGGTCGAGTGCCGTAGCTATCTTTAGAAGTCTCACATTTGGTACCTTCTTTGCATTTTGTCAGATCTGCAGTGAAAGTGTTCTTAAAATGAACAACATGTGCTGGGTCATCATCCAAGACTGCTATAACATGAAATACATGGCAGAATGTGGGTAAAAGAGAGCAGGGGACATACAATTCTACCCCAAGGAGTTCAGTCACAAATTTAATTAACGCTTTATTTTTTTTAATGAGCGTCATCATCATGGAAGCATGTCCTCTGGAATGGTGGCTGAAGCATGAAGAGGCATACGAATGTTTACTATATCTGGCTCATAAATACATTGCAATGCCGGCTACAAAAGTGCCATGCAAATGCCTGTTCTCACATTCTGGTGACAATGTTAATAAGAAGAGGGCAGCATTATCTCCTGTAAATGTAACTAAACTTGTTTGTCTTAGTGATTGGCTGAACAAGAAGTAGGACTGAGTGGACCTGTAGGCTCTGAAGTTTTACATTGTTTTGTTTTTGAGTGCAGATATGTAAAAAAAACCCTACATTTGTAAGTTGCACTTTCACAACAAAGAGATTGCACTATAGTACTTGTATGAGGTGAACTGAAAACTACTATTTCTTTTGTTTATCATTTTTACAGTGCAAATATTTGTAATCAAAAATAATATACTCTTTGATTTCAATTACAACACAGAATACAATATATACGAAAATGTAGAAAAACATCCAAAATATTAAATGCATTTCAATTGGTATTCTATTGTTTAGCAGTGCAATTAAAACTGCGATTAATTGTGATTAATTTTTTGAGTTAATCGCGTGAGTTAACTGTGATTAATCAACAGCCCTAATTTTAAGTATTCAGAAGAAAATTGTGATATTTTTAAATTATGGATTGTTGCAAAGTAAATTTAAAAGTCTTTAGGAAATATGTGCGCCTATAATTTTGCTTATTTTTACCATATACTTTTGTAAATTCTGTTGACGGTAGTAAAATATGTGTAATATGAATACGACCTAGCTGAAATAGACAATTTATTATTACCCTATATTCTAATTACTGAGAACCTGAACATGCAAAACTTTACTCATGCTGAGTAGTCCTCACTCACACAAGATGTCCCTTTGATTTCAAAAGGGATGCTCAGGAGAGTAAGGTATACCGGAACGCACTTGTGCATTCATGTCAAATTACATTATAACATTTTTATAAGTTAAAAAAGCACAGAATCACAGAAGATTAGGGTTGGAAGAAACCTCCAGAGGTCATCTAGTCCCAACCCCCTGCTCAAAGCAGGACCAACCCAAACTAAATCATCCCAGCCAGGGCTTTGTCAAGCCAGGCCTTAAAAACCTTTAAGGATGGAGATTCTTCCACCTCCTAAGGTAATCCATTCCAGTACTTCACCACCTTCTTAGTGAAATAGTTTTTCCTAATATCCAACCTAGACCTCCTCCAGTACAATTTGAGACTCTTGCTCCTTGTTCTGTCATCTGCCACCACTGAGAACAGTCTAGCTCCATTCCCTTTGGAACCCCCCTTCAGTTAGTTGAAGGCTGCTATCAAATCCCCCCCCACCCTTCTTTTCTGCAGACTAAATAAGCCCACTTCCTTCAGCCTCTTCTTGTAAGTCATGGGTCCCAGCCCCTTTCTCTAGTGCGGGGCCCAAAACTGGACGCAGTACTCCAGATGTGGCCTCATAGTGCCGAACAGAGGGGAATAATCACTTCCCTCGATCTGCTGGCATGCTCCTACTAATGCAGCCCAATATGCCATTAGCCTTCTTGGCAAAAGGGAACACCGTTGACTCATATCCAACTTCTTGTCCATTGTAATCCCCAGGTCCTTTTCTGCAGAACTGCCGCTTAGCCAGTTGGTCCTCAGCATGTAGCAGTGCATGG